CGAGATGACTTTCTGCTGTCTGAGCTGCAGGGAAGGGCTGGGTCAGGAAGCTGCAGGCATCCAAACCTCGAGGAGCACCATGTTCTCCATCAGCTTGGTCGTGATCTCCTGTTTTTGTGAAGTGGTTTGCAGTGCTGCACTCCCAGCCGAGCAATTTGGGGACATGAAGGTGGCTGGGACAGGGCTTCAGCTCCCAGAGCCCCAGGGCTCCTATTTTATCTGGTGCCAGCACAGACAGCAGCTCCCTTGCTAAGGCAGTAACTCCACCAATTCTGGCATCCGTGTAATTATCAGTGCTCCTCGTGACTTTGGGGGTCAACCACAGTTTAAAAGCTTCCTCTGTACCAAACTTCCATGGAGGTGATTGTTGTGTTTATGGCTCCCTACGTGCCCTCAGAAACTCCAGGAGAATGATAAAAAACCAGGCCCGGGGCCTTTTAAAACCTTTGAGAAGTGAAAAAAAACTAACTTCATGGGACAGAGTGACCTTCGTTCCTCAGCACCGAGGCTGTGTCCCAGACACCAAGGTCTAGGGGTGGGCGAGTTCATGGTTTATGGCTTTGTTTTCAAATCGGTACATGCGTATGCAAAGAAGATTTTAAAAGGAAAAAAAAAAAATAAAAAAAGGAAATTCTCAGAGCAGCCACAGGGACTGAAAACTCAGCCTCCCAGATTTCTCCGTGCATCAGTATTTCCTTGGCTCGCCGCCCTGTTACCTCAAGTGCCGCCGTCAGCGCAGGAACCACTCAGCGTTTAATCAGACCAAGCTGCTGAGAACTTCTAACGCCAAAATAAGAATTAACCCAAGCGGTTCTGCTCTGATTATTTTTTGTTCGTTCTTCTCCTTTTCCTCAAGAATTGCAGCTTGGCTCGTCACGTGGCGGGCGCAGCGGGAGGAAGGCGCTCGCTGGGCCTGGCGTGGTGAGCCGTGACAACCTCTGGTTTACCTCAGCACGGCGGCCCCGGGGCTGACACGCAGGCGGATGCAGCTGCATGGAGGACCTGCAGAGCCCCCAGCCCCTCACGTAGCCGCCTTGTCCCCCCTCCAACACCGTATTTTTATGTACAAAATGAGCCGAACGCCCCTGTCACCTCCACCGCTTCCTCCTCGCCTGGCGGCTTGGCTCACAGCCTCTTCGTGGCACTAGCTTGGCAGAATTTAAAGATGACCTGGAAATAAATAAATAACTAAAAGAGACTGCCAAAATGCCTCTCCCAGCACAGCCTGCCTCAGCGCGGGCGGGAGGCAGCAGGTGATGTTTCAGCAGCTTTTCGGGCTCGGCAGCAGCGGGGGAGCTGCTCTCTCCTCGGCTGACCCCTTCCTCCCCCTGCCCCGCTGCTCCCTGTGCGGGTGTTCCTGTCAAAATCTCTCAGAAGCCCCGCTGGAAGAGGTCGTGCCCATGATTTCGTAACTCTGAAAGGGGGAAACCCGTGAGCAGTGACGTGCTGGGCTCCGGCCTGGCCGTCCCACTCTGTCCTGCGGAGTCAAGGCAGGAATGTGCGGGAGTGCCAGCAGGCCAGAGCGGGGAAATAGCAAAGGGAAAACGTTGTTTGTGCTTGCTTTCTGTGTGAAGCTCATTAAAAGCCCTGTAATTAGGGAGGGAAGCAGAGGCACGGCTCATGGCAGGGCCCTCTGGAGCCAGCCGGTGCCACCCGTGCCCAAGCAGGGACACCCAGAGCAGGGTGCCCAGCACCACGTCCAGGCGGCTGCTGAAGGGCTCCAAGGAGGAGACCCCACAGCCTCTGGGCAGCCTGTGCCAGGGCTCCGTCACCCGCACAGCACAGAAGGGCTCCTGGGGAAAAAGGAAAAAAAAAAAATCATAAAAGGAAGGGGATTTACAGGGCAATGACATTCATATCTCTAAGCTAAGGGCTGCCGCAGGATATCTCATCTGCAGTTACACACCTGGCTAACAGGCAGCTGGCACGGCGGCGTTGCATTCGCTCCTGCGGGAGGGAGCCGCGTTGTGCCGGGGCTGTTGCCATGGGGAATATCAGTGTTGGTCAAAACTTGAACGTGCAGCCCAGCACAGCGAGGCTCCCGACTTCCTCTGGCGCAGGGAGAGAAGCTGAGGACGGCTGAAAATGGTGGCAAAGAGGCTGCGGAGGGGATGGGGAATTAGATCATGAAACATTAGAGAGAGAAGGGACTGGGCAGCTGGGAGGGGAACAGAGTCAGCACTGAAACAAGAAGCCCCAATAAAAAACAGGCCAAAAGGCAACACGGTTAATTAATTAATTTTCATTCTATTTCAGCGAGATTAAGAGCAGGCTCATGTTCAGCACTGACAGTGCCCAGGGTATCACGCAGCTCCAGGAAAATCCACACTTTACTCCACTCAGGCCAGCCCACTGCGATGGCAACGCGTGGAAATAACGTGGATCGATTCCTTGTTGCCGTGATGATTTTTGTTTAAGTGGCTCAGGAAAACCCCACCTTTCAGGACAATTCGTGGTTCGCTTGAGTGTTGGAATGGTTTCAACATGTGCTTAAATGCCTTCAGGAGCCCGGGCCCGTGTTTCTTAGACGTGCTGTGGTGAAGCCAAGACAGCAGCAGACCCGATAGGCTGCTGAGGAATCCCTCTCCCTCCCAGCAGCAGTGTTGCAAAACTAAATCCATTCAGAGTTTTGCAAAACTTCAATTGACGGTGGTGATAAATATCCTCACGGGAACACTCTGTTTTATTTATTTTCTGACTTTTTTATTTTGTTACCTGCTCATGCCAACAATACTTTAAGCACACACAAATTGGACGCCCCCCCCTCTTTTTTTTTCTTAGAGGGTGTGGGTCCCAAAGGCAGCCAATTCTCACACCTTTAGCAGGTAAAAGTAACCTTGTGCAGGTGAAGCATCGCTTCAATTGCTCCCTGGAAATGCGCTGATCTGGGTGATTTTATAAAGATTTATTAGTCTAGGACGTGTCACCGAGTCCACGGCATTCACCCACTGAATGCTTACACACTGGGAGCCTGAAGAGGTGTGCAAACAGCACCGGCTGTGCTCTCGCCTCGTGATCACCTTGAGAGGAGCCATCCCAGCGCTGCTTCTTCCCCAGATTCGGCACTACGAGTGCTGCACGGGGGCCGCGGGACACCTGGGGTGTGCTGATTTTCTCCCCGTCCGGTGTCCCCGCGTGTTTCCTGCGGGCACCTCTGGTCCCTCGCTGCAGGAAACCCCTCCAGCTGCCTCCACGTCTGCGCTGCCAACCCAGCAGTGACTCACGCCGCGCTGCCTGACCCGGCTTGAAACGCTGCACGTAAATCCTGCCCGACGGCTCAGCCACCCCAAAAAGCCCGCCTGCCCTGCCAGCAGCCCTTCCTCCTTGCTGGGAGTTTTCCCTCCCCGAGCCTGGGAACGCGCCATCCCGCGGAAGAAATGAGGATCACCTTTCAGATCTCTCCGCGCCTAGAATACGTTTCCTTTCTTTCTTTTGCATTTTATAAATAGTCCGGCCTTCCTGCAGCTTTTTCCCTGGCCTGGTGACTCATCGTAGACTCATCAGGCTCGTCGCTGCTCTCAAGCAGGGAATTGAGCTCTCTTGCACAAATAGAGAGAGGGAGAGATCCCACCAGCTCAGATCAACAACTATTTATGATGTTTTCCCATGGAAACATGAAATACTTCCTGCTGCCCCGCGGCTGGAAGGATTAGTGTCAGGATGAACCCATGCGAGACTCTGAGGCGATGCCACCGAGGGCAGCTTGTCTGCGTGTCCTCGCCCTGTCCCCTCTGCTTCCCTCTGGGCGCCTCCAGACGGGAACAATTTCATTCTCCTTAGATCACTGCGGAATATTTTTGACCCAGTTACTACACTGAGAATGCAACAGAGATGCCAAGTTTTCCGTTTATTTCAGAAAACGGCCAGGCTTGCACTTTGGGAAGTTGGGGGCTGTGCTTTTCAGCTGCCTACCAGGTAATTAAGCATCCAAAGCTCTCTTTCCTCTCCTTCCCAAGCAGAAGCGTTTAAAACGCCTGAGCTCGCTGTTGGTGGCAAGCACCCAGTGCCAGGCACCTCGCAAGCGCTGCGGAGATCACAGCCCTCGCAATTAAACACTGACAACTTGATGGAATTCAGCCCAGACTGCGTTAATGACAGGATGAGCTCGGGAAGGGTTTGTTAAAAAAAACTAGACTTGACAAACATTAGTTCCTCCTGAGTGTGCTGTGGGCGCTGGGGAGACAGGCTGGGTGTACGCCTCGCAGGTTTCGTGTGGGGTCTGGGGAACATTTAGCAGGCACCTTGATATCCACCGAAACCTTCCAAATAAAATTCAAAGAGAGCTCACAGAGCAGGAGCCTGTAGCGCTCCTCTCCCTTCACTCATCGCTCCTCCAGCCCCAAATTCGGGCTGGAGGTTTTCTGACAGCTCGCGAGCGTTCCCGTGGCGACAGAAGCCTGTTGCCAAAGCAGGCGAGGGAGGGAAACGTCTATTTGCAGCAGCCGTGGCAAGCTGCCAGGGGGACACCTCACGCTGCAGGGCTCTCCGGAGACGAAAACCCTTCCTGCCGGGGCGGACAGAAAGCAGAGGGGAAGATCCTCAGAGCGCGGCGCTGCGCGGGTGGGACAGCCGCAGGAGCCGCCCCACTTGTCCTCGCAGGCTCCCGGCCGGCTGCCCCGTGGCGGGACCTCTCCGTTACGGCATGTGTTAGTTCACCCGCGCGGCATCCAGGCCTGCCGCAATGGAAATTGTTTGCTCCCGACCACAAGGGGAAAGCCAGGGCTTTTTCCAGCCTTCTCGCCATCCTCCCTGCAGATTAACTGGGGTGAGCAGACCGAGAGCCTTTGCTCCAGGAACGAGGCGAGCAGCGTGACTCACGTTGTTCCTAGGCAGGGCGCTGCGTCAAACAGGAGCGGCGAGGAGCGCCCCGATCCCACATATCCCATAGGAACGGTGGTGAGTCAACAGCCACGGCTGTGAGATTCGGGAATCCCTGCAGGCAGGGGAGTGGAGCAGGACAAGAAGCCCACACAACAGTGAAGAAGTTCTGCTAGAAAAGGTCTATATTAAAGAAAATTGGTTTTATTGTAAACAAAGTATAAAGTACAACATAAGAAATGTGCAAATCTTTAAGTAGTCACAAAAGAGCGTATCTAATACACTATTTCCAAACTGTCCACTTTCTGGTATGTGTCCTCAACGTAGCATGATAAAATAGAGATAGTGAAAGTTGATGCATTGTTTGTCACAAAATATACAGCTTTAATTCTAGGCGGTGTCTCAACGGCCTCATTTTACTCTTCAAATCACAACTTCCTAATTTAATACAATACATAGCATATCCATAATTCATGTAGTATAAGCCGTCTTTCAGAGAAAAACACCCTCAAGAAGCCTAAGATTCTCATTTTCTTAATCAACCCGAGTAGTTTACAGCTACATTGTTCTTAAAAGTGCACTGTATCTGCTCATGAAAAAAATGCCGTGGTGCAGCGCTTTGAGAAGGTACAAAGGAAACCATAAGCAACACAGAAGCAGAAGCACCGCACGATGCCCGAGGGTGACCAGTTGTAATCAGCACGAGGCCTCCAAACCCCTCCGGGTGCCCGCGCCGTGCCCCTTAGCGCCCACGCACCCACCTCGGGCAGCAGGGCAAAGCTGGCACCACAGCCGCCCGGCGCCTGGCACCACAGCGCCCGCTGGATGCACCCGAGAGGGGGCAGGAGGAGAGGGCTCCTACCAGGAAGAGGCGGCAGGAGTACGAACCTCGCTATCGTCCTCATCTACGCTGTGCTGGAGATTCCCAAGCAGTCGCTAAATCCGCGCTGGGCTCACGCATCAGCTGCGAGCCGTCAGTGCCGCAGCTGTGCGGCTGACATGGAGGATGCGTGAAGCATCTGCCGAATTCAGGAGGCGCACAGCGCGCGCTGCTCTGCTCTACACCCTGCCCTTTCTCTCTCCTCACCAGTGCAAAAGACGCCCGCTGTTCCAGCAGCGCCGTTCATGGCCGAGCACACACTGCCTTTGCCTCTGCCGCGCCGCCATCAGCAGCTGGCACCGGAGAACCACAGAGCTGGAGCAAAAGCTATTTTTTTTTGTCTTTTTTTTCCTTTTTAAGACTGGCATACCCAGCGACAAGAGTTAATTCCGCTGTGCTCCCAGTCAGTCCGTCACTGCGCAGCTGCCGAGGGAGGCGGCACAGCGATGTCGTTGAGCTTGCTGACTTCCATTTGCCAGTTGGGTAACTTCTTCGCCGAGAGGTGGCGGCGGGCGTGCTTGGTCAGGTGGTCGCTCCGCATGAACCGCCGCTCGCACATCGGGCACGCAAACTTCTTCTCACCCGTGTGCGTTCTGCGGTGACGGGACAGTTCATCAGACCGCGCAAACCTCCTCTCACAGCCTTTCCAACTACAGCTGAAGGGCTTTTCTCCTAAAAGGAAAAAAAAGAAAAAAAATACCATAAATATCAGCTGAGCAAACACTGTCTTAACAGTACTTGACTTTTTTTTTTTTTTTTTTAAATTTCACTACAACAGCTGAGCCAGATCCTGTATAGGTATTATTTTCATCCACGTGAAGTGTGAGAAAATGTTAATATGCTATTTTTAAAACATGCAGACTCGCTATCATCAAGGCACAAAGGATTAAAAATAAAAACCCTCTGGAAACTGAACTCTCTGAGATGCTTTGTGTCCCCAAGGCCAGCTGATTGCACCGCTCAGCTCCACCAGCCTGCAGATTACAGTGACCAAAGTGGCCTTGCTGAAATGCTGTCACATTAGTCCCAGCTGTAAGTGACAGAGCTCTGCGAGCCCGCGTGCTAACCCATGCCACTTTCTGCTGCTGTGGTTAAGAGCTGAGGCGTGGAGAAGTTGCTCAAAGATAACCACGGCAGGAACAGCCTGGAGCGGACGCTGCTTTCTTTCATGAAAGAATCCCTTTCAAGTTTTACCTACTTCTGACAAAGGCACTCTTGTGGAGAAGCCTAACGAGGCGCGTTGAGCTGCAGAAGGGTACACTCTGCGTTTGGACAAGGCCTGGCTTCCCGTGCTTGTCACAAGTATTACTGCCGGCCTCCTGGCACGGAGCGGGGCCAACACAAACAAGCTGCTGAATCAACTTCCCCTGCGGGGTAATTCCTAGCAGAGACCAGGCAGCAGCACGATTACACACACAGCGGCAAAAGCACTGCTTCAGTGCTGCCTTGCACATCATTTCATGAACAAACACAGTAACTGCGAGATCCCCAACATCGAGCTGCAGCTTCCTACGCTGCTACGACTTTTAACACCCAGAAAGAGCGACCAACCTGTGTGCGTTCGGACATGCGCCTTCAAATGGGAGCTCTTGAAGTAGGTTTTCCCACACCCCGGGTAGTTGCAGACATGACTTCTTATCCTTGAAGAATCCAGAGGGGGAGTGACTTTGGCTGTGGAAGGCACGAAGCCGGGAGCAGGGGCAATAGGAGAGAGTCTGGTGCCATTCGGGCTAATGATGGGCGCCTTGGTGCTCGGCACCACGGGCTGGGGCACGACAAACATAACGGCGCCTTTGGGAACTTGAGCGCCCATCAACACCATGGGCTGGCAGAGCGCGGGCTGCTGGCTCGCTGCGGTGCTGGGCATGACGGCGGTCACCACCGAGTTGCTGGCAGGCAGCGGGACCATCTGGCAAATCACCGGCACGGGGGGGGCTCCGCTTCCTGGCACGGGGCATGGGGGTGCCACCAGCGCTGAGCACGGTGCCGCTCCGGGGGCGGACGGATGCGTGCTGGCCGCGGGCTTCGTCGAGGGCTCGGCGCCGCCAGCTGGTTCTGCAGTCTTCCCTTCCGCAGCTGGCAGTTTGCCACTTTCGTAACTCGCTCTGCCCGGCGCCACCGCCACGCGCTGCGCTTCGGTGCTCTGTTTACTATCGGTTTCCCGTGAAACACTGTCCTGGTATTTCAGCACGCTGGCTGTTCTCACCGGGCAGGTTTTGTGATTGCAGAGCTGAGCGTCGGCCGTGTGGCGAATAACGCTGGTCGCTTGTGCCTTCAGAGGCCTGGGTGCCGGAGTCCGGGAGGCCTCCGTGTAAGGTGCGGTGAGGGGCGGCTTGACGGCCTCGGCCAGCGACTTGCAGTGCGCTGCAGGTGGCGCTGGTGGCCCCGGGTGGACGACTTGAGACATCTCGAAGTCCGACGGGCTGTAGGGTGGAGTCAGGCACTGCGGGGAGAAGAGGGAAGGTGAGGGGGGGACGCGTTACCAGCCTGTTCCCACACGCACCCTGAGAAGGGAGCACGCACACACGGTATTAAAGACTTACAAACGCGGGTATCGTGTTGAAGTCTGCGGCGCCAGGAAGCAAAGTCTCGTCGCTCTCTTCCGACATATCAGATGCTGGAGTTATAGGTCTCGCTTCTGCGTGCTTCTTGAAGTCGGACTTCCAGTTGCAACTCATAGAAATAAGGGCTTCCACAGCCTCGTAATCGCTTTTTTCGGGGGTATTGTTCCAGAAATATCTCGCATCTCTCTGTTTCTCAGTCATCATCTCCATTTCTTCCTCCTGTTTGGGTCAGGGGAAAAAAATAACCCTTTAAACCTGATGGCCAAGCCTCAGCATTTAGCTGCCGGTTGTCAGAAGGCTTTGTAAAAACAAAACAAAGCGACCCGCGCCCGACGAATACGCCTGATGATGTGGGGGACATGCCTGCATTTCCCTGCCCTCCTTCTCCTTTATATAACGCTGTCACGAAGCGGTTTGCGGGTAAATCTGCCCATCTGGCGAAGACCACGCAGCTCCCGGAGACAAAGACCTCCCCCGAGCCCCCAGCAGCAGCTCCAGCCACCCCACACCGCCAGGGCAGCGCCCGAGACGCCGACACCGACCCTCCCGGCCGAACCCCAGGCACCGCCACAGCCCTTCCCCGCACCGCGCCCCTCCCCGAGGCGGCTCTCACCGGGCGGGGGGACCGAGGGAGCCGCAGCAGCTCCGGGGCCGGGGCTCCGAGGGCGTCTGAGGGGACCGTGAGGCGCTGAGGGGACCCGTGAGGCGCCGCCCCCCCGGCAGCCGTTGGGGTGCGCCGAGGTGACGGTGGCGCGCGCCCAACCGCCGCCCCCCTCCCTCCCGCCCAGCGCCGAGGCCCCGCCCCCCCGCCGCCCCTATTGGCCCGCCGCCCCCCCCCGCCGCGCTCCCATTGGCCGGCGCCGGGCCGAGGCGCGGCCCACGCGAACAAAGCGTGATCGGCGGCTGCTCGGGCCGGGCAGCGCCGCGCGCCGACCTCTCACCCACTGCGCCCCCGCCCGCGGCAGGAAGGAGCCGGGCGCCGCCCGCGCGGCTCCGGGAGGGGGCGGGGCTCCCGCCGGCCGGGCCGGCCAATCAGCGCCAAAGGTGTGTGAGGCGCCGGCCAATGGGAGCGCGGCGCCCGCGCGTGATCGGCGGCTGCCCCGCGGCGTGGCCGGGGGGGGGGCGCGGCGTGCGCGCCCCCGCGGGCTGAGTCAGAGCCCCCCCCCCCCCCGTGAGGGGAGGTCACGTGGTGCGGGGGGGCTGAGGGGAAGCCGCCCTGAGGCGATTTAACGGCCGCTAATTAGCCGTTAATTAGCCGGTAATTGCCTCACGCCGCGGCCCCCTCCGTGGCTTGGGGCTTTTTTTTCCTGTCAGGTTTTGTTTTGTTGAACCCCTGCCGTGCTTGCGGAGGAGCCGAGGGGATATAATGCCCGAAGGGGGCTTCATTCGGGGTGACCCCAGTCCGTGCTGCCAGCGGCACCGAGCAGGTGCTCGCAAGCGGCTGCGCTGCGCCTCCGTCGGTGCCTTTCGGCCCAAATCCCCTTTGGTTTGCCCTCTTTGGGATCTGTAGGGTGAGGGACGGGTGCTGATGGGCGATAAAGCCCTGCCGTGCCGCCCTGGGGGGGCTGTGGGGGAGCAGAGAGCCGGCCGTGAGGTGCTCGTGCTTCAGGTCCCTGGGGGCAGCCCTCATCGCTGTGGGGACCGAGCTGCTGCTGGGATCCTCCGATCCCTTCTGAGCACACCCTGGGGGCCTGGGGGATAAAACTGCTTCGCTACGAGGGTCCCCGGTACGTCTCAGACTGCTCTTCCCTTCCCTTCTCCTTCCCCGACACTGCTGCAGGGTGGGAGTGTCAAAACCACCTCTCCCCAAAATAATCTCAGCCTCGGAGGCTGGAAAATGTGACAAAGTGGGCGGCAGAGAGCAGCTGGGGCTGCTTTCCCCACACACAGGAGAAGCCCACCTTGTCCTGCTTTGGGAATTCCTCATGAGCACACCAGGCGAAAACCAGGAGTTATATCTATTTCACATTAATCTCGCTTTATTTTACCAGGCGAGCCCTGTTGGTGCGTACGTGCTCACAGCCCTCCTCTCCCCGGTGTTTGCGGCTGCTCTGAGTCAGCGCAGCCCCGTCCTGCCTCGCCTGCTCAGTGCCGTTCAGGGGAAGGTTTCGGAGGCTGTAAAGGTGATTTTCTCTGGCAGTCACCGAGCTGTGACTGTCGGATAAATGCGTTGGCGTTTTTCGCTCAGTTTCCTGGAGGAGCCGGGGAGGTGGTTTTATGCCACCTAGCAGCAAGCTGATGTGTTTGCTTTCCATCCTGACGGCGCTCAGACGTTTGGCGTTCCAGCACTTGTGGGTTATTTATTTATGCCTACGACTCTGTATCTGAAGCCTGAGTTTCCCAGAAAACCACTTAGGCAGCCCGCAGGTCGTATTTTTCTGATGTGGAAAGGTAAATTGTTGTGGGATCAGGAGGATAAATTTAGGGAAGAGATTTGGCATCTCAGCCGGTAAATCACTGCCCAACTGCGTACCTTCAGTCCTGTCCAGCAGTCAAAACCTGAATTTCAACCTGCTGTTACCTGTGGCTTTGTCAGGAAGAATTTAGAAGGAGCTCTAAGTTGCTCCTTTATCCCAAAGTCTTGGCTTTGATGTGTTGATGAGCAAGAAGCCGTATTCCACGGCGGATGACGGGCCACCGATGGGTATTTTTAACCTCTGGTATTAGACGTGTGCTTGTTTCACAGAAAACTGCAGGTGGGTGGTTATTTTTGTCAGATGAGAAGGAACCGAGGTAAGTAAATGAGTGGCTCAGTACCCGCTGGAGATTGCGGCAGGTTTCGTGTTCAGTTCCTTCAGTGCAGGATCAGGTTGGACACCAACCAGAACCTTCCTCAGCCCCGCGGCTCTCACAGGATCTGTGTTTCTTTGCAGGACACCACGACGGTACCGGCTACCGCCCTGCTTCCCATCTGTCGTTTTAGGAAGGGCAGCCAGGGCTTTGATGTGGCCCAGCCAGCCAAAGTGGCATGCTCTCTGCGTGCCTTGCCTGCCGAAATCCGGGGAATGCTGCGGAGTGGAAATCAGGAGTTCATACGGGAATGGTTTGGTGATTCTTTCCACGCGGCTCATGCTTCGTATTTCACCTCATACGGCGTGACCCAGGGTTTATTTCTGTTTAGCAGTTCGTGCGTTCTTTCTTCGACCCAACACAGCAGTGCTGGTGGGTTTAGTGACATGACAAATAAAGGGCAACACAGCTGGGCCCTGAGTGTGATGGGAGATGTGCCGCTTGAGAACACGGATACCTTTGGAAAGGGTATGGCCGAGTGGCATTGTTTATTTGCAGACAGCTTGGAAAGTCTCAGGAAACACAACTGAAAGCCTTTTCTGCTTTCGAGGCTGACTTCTACCACCTTGAATGGCATATTTGTTATATTCAGAGCTTTCCCGCTGTCACAATTTAATTAACGCTTTTGTATAAAACCCAGCTGATCAACCTAAATTACTGTTAGCAAAATCAGGTATTAAGAAGCTGATTTAAGTGAAAGGAGAAGACAGCCTGTGAGCACGAACAGTGAGCGCGTGTAGCTGACCAAGCCACCTGTCCGTGCTCTGATCAGATGAATATTTTTCCCGATGGAAGCATTAGAAGTACATTTGCTTGCTTTTTCATGCCAAAACTGGATTTGCTTGTTCCACGGTGACTTAATAGCTGCTGCATTTCAGGAGTTCCTCTGGTGGCCTGTATCCTGGAGGGATGAAGATGGTGGAGTGAGCGGGGCATTTCATCTGACATATTATGGTGGTATGGAAGTCAGCAGGGACTTTCCTCCTTCTAACAAAAGTAACAGCATGTCTACACCCCCAAATACACGTGTTTTGGTAACAGTCATGTGAATAAAGGTCATTCTTTTCTTTAAGCCTACCTTCCTTTCATATTTTTTGAACTATTGACTAGTTTCAGCCACGTAAGACAGATGCGGTGGAGCAAAACTCTGAGTAAATTTAATATTGCAGGAACCACTACCGGTTGTATGATGCTAACATGTGATCCAACCCCCGCTGCATATGCGTTAGCTCATATTCAAGCAAGCAAATAGTTTCTGGATAGGGAAATGCAGGTCCAAAATGGCAGGTAGTAAGCCCTCCATACAGGAAAGACTAAACAGTGCCCAGTTTGACTCCCTGCACCCAAAACAACCCTCCAGTATGTCTTGGCAGGCCTTGAGCTCTCATATCCCAGAGCTATCTCTTGCCAAATGCCTCTGGTCACATACCACACCCTTGGCATCACAGCACAAAACACAGCACTGGCATGCTGCTAGGCAATCATCCTGCGATTAGTAATTGATTTTTTTTTTTCCTTAAGACGTCACAGGAACTAAGGGCACCCTTTTGGGGCCCGAGGAGATCAAGGCCTTCTGCCTCATTTACACAGACGTCACCGGAGTCGTGGCTTTGCTCCTCGGGTAGCCCAGATAGTCTCTTGGCAGCATGGCAAGAATTGAGCAATATTTTTTTTATTATTATCATTTTTCATTCATTATCATTTTATTATCATCCAGTATCTGAAGCTCGCCCCAGGGGGATGTGCCTCGGCCCTGCGTCTTGCCGTTGGAGACGTGCACTTCGGTCTTACAGCTCATGGTTGTCATGAGGCAACTCTTGGCTCAGCTCCTCTGTCCTGCAGCTCGTCCTTGGAGGCACGCTGCACCTCGGTCCCACCAAGTGATGGCATCCGTGGTGATTCCCAGCCTCCAAAGGGCAGTGGCAGTTCTCCTGTCTGTGCAGGAGGGTCCAATAAGTGGCCAAACTTACTGCGACGTGCCTTGAACTCCAGCAGGCCCAGTGCCGTGATGACTGCCCTGTGGAGCCTGTCCCAGTGCCTGAGCACCCTCTGGGTGCAGATCCTTTCCCTAACCCCCAGCCTGACCCTCCCCTGTCCCAGCTCCATGCCGTTCCCTTGGGTCCTGTCGCTGTCCCCAGAGAGCAGAGCTCAGCGCCTGCCCCTCCGCTCCCCTCGTGAGGGAGCTGCAGGCCGCCATCAGGCCTCCCCTCAGCCTGCTCTGCTCGGGGCTGAGCAAACCGAGGGACATCAGCCACCCCTCACATCTCTGGACCCCTCAACCAGCTGAAAGTCCAAGGTCTCCTCTCTGCAAGAGGAAGAAGGGCCCGTGGGCGAGGTCAGTGCCTGGAGGGCAGCAGATGTCTCTGCACGCAGCTCTTGCAAAACAGCGGCCGAGGAGCACGGCGGGCGCTGGGGAGCGTGCTGGCGTGGGAGGGCAGCGCAGCCCGGGCAGGAGGCCTCGCTCAGTTTATTCCATGGGGCAGCAGCCGACTGCCACTGTCTGTCAGGGGCAGCAGAGGCAGAGAGTTACTGGGGTTACTTTTCAGGGTACAGCTGGAAGACTGGGGTCACAGGCTTTGTGACCAAGCAGTTTTTAGAGCTGATTCACAACTGTAGCTTGTTTAAAAAATAAAAATAAAGAAGACTTGCTTAAACCTAGGTCCATTCTGGGAGAGACTTGGCACTCATTTCTCACTACTCTCAAAAATACTTAGTTTGATGATTATTTTTTTTTCGTTTTCAACATTTTCCAAGTATTTTCCAGTCAATGAGGCAACTTGGTGTGGGTT